TCCTACGACGCTGGTTCACTTTTTAGCATGCTAGATAACTTATTCTGAACGGCTAGCCTCCGGAGCAGGATAGGTTCCAGGATAAGAGATCAACTCAGTGAAAGCACCGCCTGCTGACCAATCAGAGCTCAGTGTGCGGAGTTTAAAGCGATCAAGTCATATTACAGGAGAGAGCAGGGGCGGACTGGCCATCTGGAGAATCTGGAGAACCACAGAACGGCCGGTCCTTTAAAAAAAATGGTTTAACGTCATCATTTAAGTTGCGCTGACGGCCTTTTTCTTATCATACAAGTGTTACTATTTTTGTTACCATTTAAATATTGAATTCTATTTATTACTTTTATTTTAAATCAAATGCACCTGTTTTAGATAATATATTTATTTTGATGTGTAGGTTGATTTGCAGGTTGGTTGTTATTTGTATTGTTACTGTGTATTTTATTATATTAACTAGCTATTTATTGCTATTTATTAAATTAAAATACTGTTATGAACACTATACAATGTCTTTATTTTTGTAGATACCAGAATACATGACACAATGAATCTTTGTAATATATTTATGTTCTCTAGTTTAAATAATCATACCAGCAGGCTATTTAAACAATGTATGCTGGTCACCTGTAATCCTGGTAAGCTTCCAGCATGGTATATTTAATACTATTATTAAACATAAACTGGTGATAGATGGATGCTGTTTTTTTTTAGCTGGCGAGGATGGCTGGTTTACCTGGTTTACCTGTTTCAGCTGGTTTACCTGTTTCAGCTGGTTCAGCTGGTTCAGCTGGTTTACCTGGTTCAGCTGGTTTAGCTGGTTCAGCTGGTTCAGCTGGTTCAGCTGGTTTACCTGTTTCAGCTGGTTCAGCTGGTTCAGCTGGTTTACCTGTTTCAGCTGGTTCAGCTGGTTCAGCTGGTTTACCTGGTTCAGCTGGTTCAGCTGGTTTACCTGGTTCAGCTGGTTCAGCTGGTTTACCTGGTTCAGCTGGTTTAGCTGGTTCAGCTGGTTTACCTGGTTCAGCTGGTTCAGCTGGTGCACCAGCTGAACCAGCTGAACCAGGTAAACCAGCCATCCTGGCCTGCTAAAGTGTCCAAAACCCCTCTAAACCCCTCAGGCTGGTTGGTCGAAGCTGTTTTTTTCAGCAGGGTAGACGCCGCGGCAGACAGGGAGAATGAAAAAACATGGATACAAATCAAAGAAAAGAAAAAGAAAAAGGTGGGGCTGAGAAGGCAAGAGAAAAATAGGTGAAGTCACTCGCAGGTGAAGCATATAAATGTCGCAAATTGACAGACCTTTTTGGCAGCAGCGCGGCTACAAGCACTATCATCAGCAGCTTAGAACAAGTGCAAGATGATGAAGAGGATGATGAGGGCGCGAGTTCAGATATACAGCCAGCCTCCTGCGTTCATGATGAGGGACAGAGAGTTGAGCTGGAGGAAGAACCAGCTCAACTGGCACATACAAGTTCAGGGCAAGAGCAAGAGGTGGGTGACAATTATCCCTTGAACTGCATAAATGCAGCCTAATAAACAGCTGATTTCTAATAACCAATAACAAATAGTAGGCTACTGTATGTGTGTGTGTTTACTGTTTTACGATGTCTCATGTGTTTAAGACATCTGAGGAGTGTCCTCCCTCTTTAGGTGAGAATTATCCCTTGAACTGCATAAATGCAGCCTAATAAACAGCTGATTTCTAATAACCAATAGTACTGTATTTTTTTTTCTGATGCCCCCCCGTTGACATTTCATGTGGCCGGACTGGGTCAGTTTCCAGGGCTGAATTCTAGTCCCAGTCCGCCCCTGGGAGAAAGGAAATACAGTTTAAACTGCCGTTGCAGGAAAGACGGCCGGCCAAAATCACCGACTGTGTGAACGTGAACATTAATAGAATATCCCCTCCTCCCATCTTCAGAGCAATCTGACTATTATAACATTAGCGTTAAGAAAGCTTACTTAAATATCTGCCACAACATAAGTAACCGGATCAGAGTAACATTAAGTACAGTCCGCGGCACTGTGAGTGCAGACGTCGATGTGTCCCATTATCATTCATATCATATCACATCATAATGTATCATATATTTCCTTATCTGAGTCAGCTGAGCCGTATCTGGCCGTGCAACACTCACAGTGTCACATACTGGATGCAGAAGTATTATTTTAAGCAACACATTAAGTTGACGAAACACTCGAGTCAAATGTAATTAAAGTCAGATCGTGTCTTGGACGGGGCAGTGATTTCATAAACCTGTTAATGTACGCATTCAAACACTTTCTCTGTTACCAGCTGTATTCACCTTGCAGGTGCAGCTATGTGGCTTTGATCCTGGATAAAGTGTTTAAGTCATGGATGTTTAAAGTTTCACTTCTTCATATTTGACTAATATTAAAGTTCACTTTTCATTCAGGAAGTATGACGCTGCGCTGTCAGTACGCTTGTCCGTGTTTGAGATTGGTCGAATGCTCCAAATACCACCCCTTTCATGTGAACGCGCAGCTAACTAGATAGGACACGGCTGGCTTGAGCGATCCACTTGATAACCAGCGTCGTAGTACAGCTTAGCAAGAGCGCGTTTGTTTTGGATTGGGCCAACCGGCTAACTCAAACATATCCAGGTTAGGTTGAACCAGCTTCGTCGTACAGGCCTCTGGACGCTGGAGCTTTTTACACAACAAACATTTATTAGATTGTAAAAACAAAGAGACTGCAACCAGAACACGTGTTTATTATTCAAATCTTTATTAAAGGACACGAGGAAACTGAAGTGTGTGACAGCATGAAGAACACACAGCACAGCTTACAGATACACCTTTAATGTGCTTTATATAACATAACATAGTGTCATACAGTCACTACTCAGGGTAAGGAAATGAAACTGAGTGTCTCTGTACTGAGTCACAGTGAGCAGAACACCTGAGGACAGGTGAGTCTGACCCTGTAGTCCTGACAGAGTCTCCCCCCCGGCTGCTCAGCGTTCACACAGGCGAAGCCACGAGACGCATCGTATCTGTGGATATACAGAAAGGGAAACTTTAAAGGAGCCCGCACCAGTTCACGCATCATAATAATAATAATAATAAAATATGGGATTTTTATAGCGCTTTTCCATAATGCTCAAAGACGTGAAATCAGAACAGAAACCGAACAGCTCACTGGACAACATGTCTAGCTTAGCTTAGCATAGCATAGCTTAGCTTAGCTTAGCTTAGCACGAAGCCTGGCTCTGTCTCAAAACTAAATCATCTCAGTTTTCTGAAAGATACTTAAATAGGATGCATCGTGGTTGAAGGAACCCTGTCTATGAACAAAAGGACAATCAAGAGAATGTCTGTCTTTACCAAAAAGTCAATCTGTCATTAACCCTTAAACTGCCTGAACTGGTTAGCATCTAGGAAGCATGCGCTCACTTCGATTACATTCATGTTTGTAGAAAACGTAGCATCATTTATTCTGTGTGTCTCTGTGTGTGTGTGTGTGTGTGTGTGTGTGTGTGTGTGTGTGTGTGTGTGTGCGTCTCTCTCTGTGTGTGTGTGTGTGTGTGTGTGTCTGTGTGTGTCTCTGTGTCTCTGTGTGTGTGTCTCTGTGTGTGTGTGTGTGTGTGTGTGTGTGTATGTGTGTGTGTGTGTCTCACATCTGGAACAGGTCTCCTGTCTGATTGGCTGGGACTCCGCTCAGTGTTTGGCCTCGATGCTGATTGGCTCGCTGGCAGATCTCATCAGGAAACATCATCTTCAGCTGGATCAGCATCTCGAAGTCCTCCTCGCTCTGAAGGGTCATCTTCATCGAACCATCGCGTCCTGCAGCCTGAACACAGAGACCACGTCCAGAGGGGGGTTATGTGCGTCTGAACACAGAGACACGTCCAGAGGGGTTAGTGCGTCCAGAGGGGTTAGTGCGTCTGAACACAGAGACACGTCCAGAGGGGTTAGTGCGTCCAGAGGGGTTAGTGCGTCTGAACACAGAGAGACGTCCAGAGGGGTTTAGTGCCGTCCAGAGGGGTTAGTGCGTCTGAACACAGAGAGACGTCTCATGAGGGGTTAGTGCGTCCAGAGGGGTTAGTGCGTCTGAACACAGAGAGCGTCCAGAGGGGTTAGTGCGTCCATGAGGGGTTAGTGCGTCCAGAGGGTTAGTGCGTCCAGAGGGGTTAGTGCGTCTGAACACAGAGAGACGTCCAGAGGGGTTAGTGCGTCCAGAGGGGTTAGTGCGTCCAGAGGGGTTAGTGCGTCTGAACACAGAGAGACGTCCAGCGGGGGTTAGTGCGTCTGAACACAGAGAGACGTCCAGAGGGGTTAGTGCGTCCAGAGGGGTTAGTGCGTCCAGAGGGGTTAGTGCGTCCAGAGGGGTTAGTGCGTCCAGAGGGGTTAGTGCGTCCAGAGGGGTTAGTGCGTCTGAACACAGAGAGACGTCCAGCGGGTTAGTGCGTCTAAACACAGAGAGACATCCAGAGGGGTTAGTGCGTCCAGAGGGGTTAGTGCGTCGAACACAGAGAGACGTTCCAGCGGGGTTTTAGTGCGTCCAGAGGGGTTAGTGCGTCCAGAGGGTTAGTGCGTCTGAACACCAGAGAGACGTCCAGAGGGGTATAGTGCGTCTGAACACAGAGAGACGTCCGAGGGGTTAGTGCGGTCCAGAGGGGGGTAGTGCGTCCAGAGGGTTAGTGCGTCTGAACACAGAGAGACGTCCAGAGGGGTTAGTGCGTCCAGAGGGGTTAGTGCGTCTGAACACAGAGAGACGTCCAGAGGGGTTAGTGCGTCTGAACACAGAGAGACGTCCAGAGGGGTTAGTGCGTCCAGAGGGGTTAGTGCGTCTGAACACAGAGAGACGTCCAGCGGGGTTAGTGCGTCTGAACACAGAGAGACATCCAGAGGGGTTAGTGCGTCCAGAGGGGTTAGTGCGTCTGAACACAGAGAGACGTCCAGAGGGGTTAGTGCGTCTGAACACAGAAAGACGTCCAGAGGGCAGGGGCGGACTGGCCATCTGTAGAATCTGGAGATCCACAGAA